TTTTGGTTCAGATACCTGTTCGCCGCTTCGAACGCCTGTGTTCTTTCCGCTTCGACGGACTCCAAGCTCTGCTTTAGCTTCTCGACCTCTTCCTTCAGGTCGCTTGTCCCCTTTGCGGCCCCCAACCGTGTCTTCTCCATGGACATCCTCATCGCAAGCAACGCCTGCGAGCAAGATATGAGTTAGAAATAAATCAGAATGAAGTTTCAAATACAGCTCGTTTACCTTGCTTAGATGCTGGAACGACGTGGTCATCAGGTCGTCGCCCGTATCAGCAAATTCGTTGTATGACTCCGATAGCTCGCACTCGAGCAGACCATAAACTATCGGCTGCAGGTATTCTGGCAGACTCCCCAATGAGTCTAGCACTGGTGCGTCCTTCGCCTTGCCGGCAGCATCTGCCTTGCTCACGGGCTCCTTGCCCGACCTCCTTGATTCCTGTCGCGACCTCAAAGGCTCTTCCTTAGATTCGGTCTCCGACTCTTCGGCCTGAATCTGCTTCCTCTTCTTTGACCTCTGGGCTGGAGCCTTCCGCTTTGGGCGAGCAGATGGTGCCTGAGCGACCTGTTCTGTCTTGGTCGCTTCTTGCACAGGATGGGGCTGGGGAGGCGCAACTGTTCGCACCGACTGTGCCGGAATAGGACGAGCAGCTTCGATCGCTCTCTCTCTCCTCGATCGAGCAAAGACGAATGGTGCTCGGCGGGGCTGCTCGGACTCCTTTAGGGGCATAGTTTCTGCATTTAAGTTCGTTAGTAAACAAAATTGCTCCGCGACCAGAAGGGAACCAGTATAACTTACCTTCTGGGGGTTCTAAAGACGCTTTGTCGCTGAAAAAACCGTACTTCCGCAAGTTCGCGGTCGTCACAAGCTTCCTCGCGTCCTGGCTCTCCTCGTCCAGTACTCCAAAAGATACGAGCCTATCTGGGTCGGCGAGTAGCGCTTGTCTGGTCGTTCTGTTAACTGCAAAAGGAAAAAGCATGTCGTTATTATAAATCATGCGAGCAGATAATGAACTCAGCGAAGAAAAACCTACTTGGTTCCTGAAAACGACAGTAGCCGTCATAACAGAAGAAGAAGAACTTTGTCTCGTAGGCCCCCGCATTGCTGGGATAACTATGTATCCCCGCGGTAATGGAAGGTCGCCGAGACAAATAGTATGAATCCTTGTCCCTACTCTTCTTAAGGTAGTAGGCGACGCCGAGCTCCACCGCCATTGGTCCGCCCAAGCCGCTCTCGCAGAACGCGATGTACATCGCGATAGCGATGACATACGCGTTTGGCGTCAGCTGCATCGGTGCGATCCCGAAATGATCCAGGACCGACCTGATGAAAGGATGGAGGGGAATCCTCCCTCCACCCTTGAAGATCTCTTCGGAGATCGCGGCAAGGCCATCGGAGGGGCGCCGTGACGACCTGGTGTGGTCGAGGAACACCTCCGTGCGGACGTCGAACTGCTTTTTTATCCTATCAAATTCTTCTTGGGTGAGAACCGAGAAGACATCAAGGGATGCGTCCTCGGGAACTTCCCGCGAGGACGAGCTGGCTCCTTCCTCGGGTCTGGATGTTGACGGTTCCATTCCAGTCTGCAACATCGACAGACAGGTCATTTTAGCCATCGCATGTCCCACGCGGCGGCGTGGGACAAATCCCCCTAAACCCTAGTAGTAACTCGAGCTGCCATCCACGGCTCGAATCCAATGACGGCGTCACGTCTCTGGTGAAACACCGGGAGACCCAACGCCATCGCCCAACCAAACAAAAAAAAACAGAGAGAGAAAGAAAGGAGAATCTTACCTTCTGGGATGCGTAACCGAGGCCGAAACTCGTTCCAGTTGCCTGATAAGCGCCGATCGGGAAAGAAAGATTTCTGGTTTGCAAAGGTTTGCCACTCGAAGCAAAAGAAATTTTGGTGGCGTCATCTGAAAAATGTGAGATTTTATATGGATTGCGAATCGACGGTTACCACCCCTCGGAATCGAAACGACAGCCTTCTCTCTCTCCCCGCATTAAATGCGCCCCATGTCGCATTAAATGCCGCGATAAGAGTCATCGTTTCAAATGCGTTGCACAACTAATGCTGTCAAAACGGCGTCGGGTCAGCACACGATGCATTTAATGTTCCTGGCAGACACTGCGGCGCGTGCAGAGCGCCTGACAGCGTGGAACCAGGTTCATTGAATCTTTAACCCTAAGGTGCAGAAAAGAGCGTCCGACAAATCTAGGTCGCTAGGATGAAGATTGTCAGGTCGCTTAGGCAAGGAATTGCGCGAGGTCGTGCTCGCCAAAGGCCCTGTACCGAGCTCATCCCATTCAGGTCGGAGCGACCAGAACCTCTAATGTGACTTAGTTTCCAAGGTTCGATCGTCAAACCTTAAAAACTAGGGGGCTTCTGTTATGCCTGGAAAATAAGGGCTGACGTGGGAAAGTCACGTGAAGAGTGACCTGCTCCCGTCAGAGCAACAAGCACACGTCAGACCTGCTAAATGATATGGAGCTCACACGTGTCCCTTTCCCCTGCAATAAATCGTACGAAATCAGCGTGGGAAGAGAGCAATGAGACGTAAAGCCGGATTATATCCTGACAATCACACCAACCCATGGATTTAATGATGATTACACGCTTCAGTTTGATATAAAAGGAAGAAGACCCCTTCATTAAAATGATTCGGCCATTTTTACACTAAGAAACTCTCTCTCTCTTGTAAACAACACAATTACTTTTCCCAAATCTCTTGTAAGTCAGTCCGCTGTTGTGACCTGACCCACACTATCAATATCAATACAAATCAGTGGACGTAGGACTTGCTACCTTAGCATCCGAACCACTTTAAAAACTCTCTTTGCATTTATTTCGCTTTTGATATTCGTACTCACGTGTGCTTCTTGACCAATCAACGCTGCGCACGTGACAATTGGTTGGTGCCAAAATCTAGCATCAACACTTATGCTATGAGGTTGTGACATCTTGAAAATAATGAGCAGCAAACAAAGAGGGAGCATGATTTGTTGGGAGCTGACGATCAAAGTGACTTGGTTGTTGAAAACCCCAAGTGGACCTCCTTCAAAGCATATTCCATGCTGGTGATTGGAACCATTATTTCTACTGCATTCGCTAATCCTCTTAAAGATACTGTTATTAACTTTTCAAATGAAACAACTATTCCTTCATTCTTCATCTCATTTGTTGCACTGCCTTTGGCCACTAAGTTAAGTGATGTGATACCAATACTCATTTATGCCAGCCGTAAAAGTGCAGAAAGCACTTCATTAACATTTAACGAGGTTTGTTTAATTATAACATTTGTCTATTAATTTCCATATGCAATTTTCTTTTAAGAAAATGCTAGTGCTTAGGTGATTTGAGTTGACAGGTCTAATTTAATTAACAGTGTTGCACTGTTGTATAAGGCAGTTATATTAATACTCAATTCTGATGTTTCTCTGCTTCAGTTATACAGGACCGTATCGGTGAATAATGTCATTCAGCTATCAGTTTTCTTGGCTGTCGTCTACATCAGAGGATTAAGATGGGAGTTCTCATCGGAAGTTCTGGTTATTCTGATTGTTTGCGTTGTGATGGGTGGTTTTGCAGTTTCCGTACCACCTTCCCCATCTGGACATCCTTAGTTGCTTACATCCTTTATCCCTTCTCCTTGGCACTGATTTATGTTCTTGATTATGTCTTTGGTTGGCCATAGATCATGAATTGTTGAGCCAGGATTTTGTTTATGTAGAAACAACTTGAAACAATAAAAAATAATTATAGGTTCAAACATTAACCTTTATATGATGATTCCTCTTTGATATCCCACGGATGACTGAGACCTTTATATGATGAATCACATGTGACTTTGAACTTGGAATTTTCCAATAGAGGTTAAAAGGGTCATACGACCTTTTTCGTTGTTCGCAAGGTACATTGAGAATTTTCAGCCATTGGATTTGCTTTGAAAAATAAATGGCTGATGTTAAGCTTAAGATAAAAGTAAACAAAAACTTGCTACCTACTGAAGAAGTTATTACTAATTAAAAACAAAATGCATTTACAATAGATATTAGTTAAAAATTATAATTTTATAAAATAAATAATATTTTTTTATCAACCAAAATTTTAAATATAATTGAATTTGTTTAAAATTTTATTATTTTTTTAAACATAAAATAATAGTTGTAGATGCAAAAATCTACTGTTGTGGAAAGAGGGACTGATCACGTGAGGTTGAGGTCACAAGCGATCTGCTGCACCTGCACACGTGAGAAAACAAGCGTGAAGCAAATGAAAAATACCGGGGTGGTGTTTGCCGTAGGCACTCCAACGCTCAAGTCAGCAAGGCTGAGGGAGGCTAATTTAATGAGGGCTAGGGAGAAGAAATGTTACTAGAAGTCTAGTCGGGGACTATGACTACGGCTGTAATACGAAGTTCTCAAGCGTGAACTCCAGGGTCTGAAGGTATAATGTAATGTCTCCTTTGTGAGAGGACTGACCTCTGTTTAAATAGTGACTGTATGGTTTTCCAATCCTGGTGGGATTGGGAGTTCTTGTAGTAATCGTTTCCCCAAAGGGTGTAACCTTTGGCCCCCTTATCCTGGCGTGAAAGGGAGTTCGAGCATGACTCAGATATAGACCTTGGAGGAAATGGGATAGTAGTCGACTTCCTTATCAGAGTTCAAGTAGTAGTGTAATCCGTGGGTGACCGTAGGCTCCGAATTGACAGTAAGCCCAGAAAGTGTGCTAGGATCAGGAGGCCCGGATCCAGATGATATGGACTGACTGCAATCCATACCGAATAGGCCTCATCTGTGGAATTCTGGCTTGGGCCACATCGGGACTGTGCTTAGGCTTTCCTCTTTGTTGGAAGTGTTACCCTATTTGGGCCAAGGATATTTTTTAGCCCTAACAATACTAATGATAGTAAAACTATTATTGAATAGAATTTGTCATCAACGAATGTTTATGATAATAAAGTCGTGATTTTTTTTCAAATTTTTAACAAAATACTCTTCGAGTTTACTTAATACAATTATATATTATAAAATCATATATCATAGTTCATTTACAAAAATAGATACAACATAACTTTAAAATGTTTAAATTATCAAATACATGTTGTTTTTAAAATTAAGTATAACAACTTAATAGATAAAATTCATAAAAAACTCCACAATATTTTTCTTTTCGGTCTGATTATGTCATAAAATATAATAACAAATCAAGCTGAGGATGTTTCTATCACAAAAATACACGAACATTTCGCTTTCCTATTTTTCTCGGTTTTCACTGAACAATCAATAGTAAATTTATCATAATTTGCTCAATAAAAATCCAACTGATGAACGGATTAAAACATTGAAAACTAGACAGACATGACTTTAATTTGATATATTATATGTTACCTTTGATATGGAATCTACTTTGCTGGTGAACCATTTATCTAAATAAGTTAATAATAATTGAGGTTATGGTCTCGTGGTATTGCCGATAAAACAAAACTGTACAGTATCACATAAACCATAGTTTAAGAATAAATTTCACAAACAAACAACTGAAACGGTTAGAAAAAAACTAAAGATGCGAAAGGCTACAAACAAACACTGCAAGCATCTTCGAAAGAATGAACAACGTCACCAGAAGACAAAGTGGAAAGGTTCTTATTCTCACATGGAACAATGAGAATGAGAGTGATAGTGACAGTGAAGGAAGAAGGAAGAGAAGAGAAAATAAGGAAAGAGAAAATGCGTGAAGTGGAGAAGGAGGAGATAAATTTGTATGGGAAAGGAGAAATGAAATAAGGGAAAAGAATGGAACCTTAGAAGAGGGGGTTTAACCCGATTTTTACACTAAATCCGGTTGGACCGGTGGTTTGGCACATTGACACCAACCCAACCGCGGGTCAAAACGGGTTGATGAATTAAAAATATTTTTAATGTCATTCCATTCTGATTTTTATACTTATTTAAAAGTGGCAAATAATTAATATTATTTATTTGGATTAAATTGGTATCCATTGAATCCATTATTTAAATATATTTCACACATGTAATATTTCTATGAAATTACTATTTTTAATTTTTTAACAACAATACTTGAAATATAAGCAATAAACATACCGCGCGGACTCTATACCTAATTATTAAATAATCTTAATAATAAACAAGATAATTAGTACTAAACAAAAATGAAAGACATTACCAATACATATTTTTCCAATACAATCATAAGTTAGATGTTATTATGATGCAATAGGTATGATGTAATAAATGTATAACATCGTTCATGTAGAAATAACATATTGTCGTTTGGTGCTTTTCTATGTGAATGATATAAGGCTGATGCCTCCACTTATCCATAAAATACATAAATAAGTTCATGTGATTCATGATTATAGCCCTACACTTTGGCTTATGGCTCCACTTAATTTGACTTGAGGAGGTGTTTCGCTTTCTTGCATCCACACTTTTTAATTTGGCTGCCGCTATTCAGAGACATTTGTAAACTTATCAATAGCTATTGACTTCGAGGTCTTTCTTTATTAAACCCACAGAGCCCAGTTACAAATCTCGACAAAACAAGAAAAGCGAAGGGGGAATGTCGAACTCCTTAATATTTAAATGACACATGTATAGAGAAAGAAGAGAAAACTAGGGGAGAGCACGGGCAATGGGTAGAACCAGAACTTGTAAGTAGAATCGGAATCGAAACCTACTTGAAACTGACATTGTGTGGATAGGTTCCGATTCTATTTTTTTGGAACTGACACTATGTGGTTCCGATTCCAATTTTTTGGAATTAACATTGTGTCGTTCCGATTCCGATTCCGGTTCCTACATGTGATGAAACCGAAACCTAGGAAAAGAATCTGAAGCGGGTACCAAGTTTGGAACCTGCTTGGAACCGAGGGTGGGTACCCACCTGCTTGGAACCGAGGGCGGGTACCCACCTGCTTGGAACCGAGGGCGGGTACCCACCTGCTTGGAACCGAGGGAGGGTACCCGGATTGGAACCTGTTTTGGAACCTGGGCTGAAACAAAATATCTGTGAAAAATAGGGATTTTACATATAATTTTTTTTTTTTTTTTTTTTACAGTAACCTAATTAAATATATATACAATTATACATATAAACTACACCATATAAAAAACTTTAATATATTATAATATTAAAATTTTGACTAATGAAGTGTATGATTGGAATTAGGATCTAATTAAAAGTGTTTTAATGTTATTAAAAAATTATTTTTAAATAAAATAGTATATTTGTTTGAATAATAATACAATATTTAGTTATTTACTTCAATTATCAAGTTCTAAGTATATTTATAATACATTAGTAATTAATTAATTATATATGATAAATTAATAAACATCACTATATTATTAGTTAAATGATTACTTAATTAATTATAACATTACATTATAGTTAAATGATTACTTAACTAATTATAAGTTTATAACATTGCATTATAAACATTAATAATTTACTACATTAGTAATTCAGTACATTAATTAAATAATTAGAAATTTAATTAATTATAACATTATATTATAGATTTATAGTATGATTACTTAATTAATTATAACATTCCATTATAAACATTAGTATAATACTTAATTAAATGATTAAAAATTTAATTAATTATACTATTACATTATAAATTTATAGTATGACAAGCTAAAAGACCCGCGCGTTGTGTAAGGTGCCTATGCAAGTAGTTTTGACACCAAAAAAAAAAAAAAAATTAATTTAATTAATTAATTAAAAAACAAAATAATAATAGAATATTTTAGTGATAGGAATATATTCCCTTTTCAAAGTAAAAGAAGAGGAGTTGGAGCACCTTTATGAGGACAATACCAATGTTGTTGACTAAAAGTCTAAAACACAAACTTGCAACAAACTCTTCCACACTTTCCAAATGCTTCCCCCATAAGACCACCATAAGAAACTGATTCCCCTGCCCTACTGAACCTAAGCAACAACTCAATTGAAGCATCAGTCAATACAGCCATAAAGATTATCAAAGCAATACCAAGACCAAGATTGAGCACTTACATATAAGGGTGTTCGGTTCTGGGTAACCTGCATTTTTTAAAAGAACCGAAATCGGAACTGGAATCAACTGTTCCTCGAAATTTGGACATGTTTCTGTAATAGCCACAACCAACCCATATGTGTAAAGACCAAGAAAAATGTGCCATGGCAATACACTAATTCTTGATGCACGCACCTCCCCTCGATGCCAAAAGCTCAAGAAGCCCACTATTCACTACAATTTCAATCAATGTAACTACAACATTGTTATAGTATTCTCTCCAGTTTTATGTAATACCAAAACTAATCTTAATATCCGTATACACAAAATTTGTTGTACAATAAAACTTTGTTTGCTCCTCTTGGATTTCTTCTCTTTCGGTAAGTTATTTGCAATTGTCATTTTCAACAACCAAATTTCACAAAATCTCAGACTTCAATTTTTCAGTACACTCCAACAATATCTATGCACACAAAAGCATAATTAGCTTCCAATTATCTAGTAACTTTAAAGACCAAATTTAAGTTAGATGTGATTTTAACACTTCCTAACCTATGATATTTGCAAGACTTGGAACTAAATTTGATGAGTCTATGGACTGAAAATCAGGCCTTTCTAGCTCAAATTAATATAATTCTGAAATTTAAAACCATAAAAGGTGA